ATGATAGTAGAAGCTTTTGCTTACCTCGTTTTGTAAACTCCCACTAAACCTGATACAAATTGAGCATATCTTATGAACTGGGATTTGTTGCCGGAAGCACACATTGGAACACTGCTTAGACAGTGCTTACAAGTTGAATATACCTCAGATTACATCTCTTGTAAAAGCTTCTAATACTTGTCACTTATTGATGTTGTTTTGTGCTTAGATTTACAGTTTCAATTTTCAAATACTTGTTATAAAATATTGTACGTGCATGATATGAATATAGAATATGGATTGAAACTGTCCAAAACATTGTTGATATTGATCGCCTCATCTTTCATTCAAGATTCAACATCGACCTTTTCTAGTTGGTGTTAATCTAGTTTGAACAATTTTAGTTACAATGGCCATTTCCATTGCCAAATCCCATTTGCTCAGCCATTCCCATTCACGGCATTTCCACTAGCCAGTGTAAACTTCTATAATTGCGTGCCCGTTTGCTCTTTTTGTTCGGTCAGGCATTCCCAGAACAAGTAGAACCAAAATTGACAACACCTTGCAAAAGCCACCATCAAGCTCTACCAGCCTAAGGTCTTATCTGCCTCGGCATGGTCATAATGTACTCTAAGGCCTAAATAGTGAGAGAAAAAAAACACACACACACACACATTTGGGGTGAATAACAGGTTGCTCAAAAACAGTACTTATCCCCCATTTTGACGTAGGCAATTTATTTATAAATAAGTTATGGCACATGGAATTCTTGCAAAGTTTTAAGAACATATTTGGAAAAGATACGTAGCCCTTAAATATGGACTATCTCAAGATCATGAGTTTTTTTTTCAGTTTTGTGTTCATGATCAAGCATGTAAATTGGCAAATTTTCCCGTTAAAACTATTTATTTGACTAGGTTGCTCAGCCATGAAGGGACTAAATTGACACAAATATAAAAGTTTGTGGATTAAATTATCACAAATTAAAATTGGACGACAAAAAACATATTCTAGTAAATTAGCTGGTGGACCATTAACATAATTTGTTAGTAAATATACTGGAAAGCTTGGTGATGAGGCTCAGTGGCAGTGTCACGTTAAGTAGAACTATTGAGTTATGCTTTTGGCTTCATGGAGGACAATTTCTATATATATCTACCTTGTATATAAGAAAGGAGAAAGGTTTAGTGCTTTCCTTTATTTTTGCCAAGTGGCTTCTCAATTATTTGACAAGTGGCAAGGCCAAATATTTCTTGCAAATTGTTGAAGCCTTCTCTTAATATTTCTTTCAATTTGACTGAAGCCTTCTCTTTCTTTTGGCATTGAACTGTTTCTTTCTCAAAAGTGCTTTCCTTTTCGTTAGCCATGTGGAAAAGTCAAATATTCCTTCCAAATTGTATGGAACCTGTTCTTTCCTTTAGCATTGAACTCTTTCTTTCTCAAATTCTCGATGAAGCCTTTTCTTCCTTTCTCTCTACTAGACGGCTATTTTGACCAGACGGCTATTCTGACCAAAAATTCGGTGCACCTATTCTGAGCAAATTCAATTCCAAACGGCTATTCTACCAAACCCAATCCGAAACGTCTATTCTAGCCAAAAAGTTGGGATTTTTACGTGATTTAGGAGATGGGTTTTGTGAGTTCCTTCTTTCAGAAATTGCCGTTGAAGCCAGTAGGTCAACTGTCACTCCAAACACTTGATTTCATGTTGCAAAAATTGCTGCTCACTCACATAGTGTTTGTACTTCAAAGGAGGAAAATTAGGAGCAGGTGAACTGCCTTGCCAAAACTTGCCGTGGTTTCCTCTTTCTCTAATATCAAAGTAACCCATTTAATGTTGCTAGAATTGATTTCATGTTAACCCATTTCTCTTTCTATTGATTTCATGTTGCAAGAATTGTGGGGCAGTCGCGTGATAATTGTACTTCAAATGAGGGAAATTGGGAACTTTTTGTTAGATTAGGTATGGCATTCTATTCTCATTAGTTTTCCCATTCAGCCATACGATTATGATGAGAAATATCTTTTCAAATGTGATTTTTCCCTTGTTCCGATTATGATAAGAAATAGGTTTCATATTCATTTAGCCTGTAAATTTTCCAGTGAATTATGAAATCAAAAAATGGAATAGAGGTATTTATCAGTGCATGGTTCTAGCTCCTCTGTCTTATGAACTGCAAGAAGAAGCGTCTTGATATTTACACTTTATTTGGAGTCTCTTTGGTGAGAAAAAGTCTTTCCCTTTTTTTGTCAAATTTTTCCCGCATGAGTAATAAACGGATTAATAAATTCTAATATATACATATTGTTCAATTGATAGGTTCTTTCTGCTGCGGTTCATATCATCAGTCAAGGAATCCTCTAACTTGAAGGTCAGCTTGTTGTCTTTCTTGAATCTATGAGCAGCTTTTCTTCATTTATGTGACTATATTTTCAAAAGTGTTCAAAGGAGGAAAATTAGGAGCAGGTGAACTGCCTTGCCAAAACTTGCCGTGGTTTCCTCTTTCTCTAATATCAAATTAACCCATTTAATGTTGCTAGAATTGATTTCATGTTAACCCATTTCTCTTTCTATTGATTTCATGTTGCAAGAATTGTGGGGCAGTCGCGTGATAATTGTACTTCAAATGAGGGAAATTGGGAACTTTTTGTTAGATTAGGTATGGCATTCTATTCTCATTAGTTTTCCCATTTAGCCATACGATTATGATGAGAAATATCTTTTCAAATGTGATTTTTCCCTTGTTCTGATTATGATAAGAAATAGGTTTCATATTCATTTAGCCTGTAAATTTTCCAGTGAATTATGAAATCAAAAAATGGAATAGAGGTATTTATCAGTGCATGGTTCTGGCTCCTCTGTCTTATGAACTACAAGAAGAAGTGTCTTGATATTTACACTTTCTTTGGAGTCTCTTTGGTGAGAAAAAGTCTTTCTCTTTTTTTGTCAAATTTTTCCCGTATGAGTAATAAACGGATTAATAAATTCTAATAGATACATATTGTTCAATTGATAGGTTCTTTCTGCTGCGGTTCATATCATCAGTCAAGGAATCCTCTAACTTGAAGGTCAGCTTGTTGTCTTTCTTGAATCTATGAGCAGCTTTTCTTCATTTATGTGACTATATTTTCAAAAGTGAAATTTCAACGTTCCCTTTTCTTTTTAGTAGTTTTTCTTCAGTTTCTGCTTCATTTATTTTAAGTTTGCTGGTGCTATTTGTTTTGTTTGATCCTTTATGAAACAAATGATTTTTATTTGAGTAGGTAATTTTGTTAATATTTTCTCAATCCAATTGTGCTGTTGCAACCCATTCACCTGAAAAAACAAGCCAAAAATAAAGATATGAACCTAGCTCACAGTTCAATAATCCTTATTTTGAAATTTGGTAAATTCTTGAATATATATATATATATATATATATATTATTAGTGGCATACCTACAAAAAAGAGAGATCCATTTGCTAATGTGATTATGGCCAACTGAACTGTCCTATTGGTTTGCATATGATCAATGTTCTATCAAGTAGCCAAATAGCTATATATACTAGAAAAAATATTATAACAATGGACAACAATAACATATTTTGTGAGCCAAAATCATTAGCACAATATATTTTGTGAGACAAACTTTTGCTTGTGCTGATTTTGGAGCTGTGGCTGCTATGCTAAAGTTATTATTACATGACAAATTCATTTTTAACTAATTTCAACCTCCTGCAACTAGTGCTTTTGCCTTTAATTACAATATACATATCTAAAATATGTGACCTGTTGTTGTTCTAAATGAGGAATAAGAGTGATTATCTATTTTTTAGAAAACTTTAAGGTCAATGCATAGAGGTTGTTATTGGCAAAGCTTGTTTAGTCATCTAAGTAACTATTGGTTAAACAACTTAAGACTTTGTACTTCTTGTTTCTAATTGATTATTTAGTGTGTGCCTTGTTTGCTATTTCGTTTAGCCTAGACTTGTCTAGGGCAATGAAAAGGTTGATGGTTACCTCTTAAGGATATTGTATATAGAGCATCCTTCGGCTGTTATCCATTGTAGCCCTTTTAGGCAAAACTCGTTCACTCCTTTATATAACTATCAGTTAAGCAACTTAGGTTATTGTGCCTGTTTTACCCCAAGTTGCATGTAATATGCTTGTTGTTTTATCTAATCTATACACAACCTTAGGAGAATGAAAAACCTGATGATTACTTCTTAAGAACAGAGATTGGAATGGTGGTACTTGTTGTAGTCTAGCCAAAAGCTAGGCTCCAAAGGCATCAAATGTAATAAACATTTCTAAAGGAAAATGAAGGTTATTAACTTCGCATTCAGCTCAGTTGTGGTTTTAGGTGTCTGTTGATATCCTATTAAAATTACTTTGTTTTGTTTATAGTGCATTGAGGATGGTCACCTCGGCCTTCCGATTGGCCGAAATCATACCACCTCATCCTCCACACAGACCGAGATATCCGGGGGACATTACTCCTCCCCCTGACCTCGGTTGTACCTTAGGTCTACGTCACGAAAGATTTCTGTACTTTGGGTGTGTCACCCCGACTCCATGCGGATGACGTCAACCTGCCTGACACCACACTGGAGACCATTGCTTTATCTGAAATGCTACTAATGCTCTTAATGGCTACTGCACAGGACTACTTGTCACCCTGTTCAGGCTGCTGCAGTGTCAGAGCTAGACCTCCAGGTGCAGAACAGAGCCGTAACAGTCAGGACATGGGTCCCGCTAACGTCAGCCCGCCGTCTTGTCCTCCGCTCCTGCACTATAAATACCCCCTGTTCACTCCCAACAAGTAAGCACACTATTGCATTTTTACTGCTCATTACTCTTTATTCCTTCAATATACTGATTTGATCGTCGGAGTGATCCTAGGGGAGAAGTCCCGCCGTTCACTTCGGATAAGCAAATTCATCGCACCTCACTTGAGAGAGGACTGATTTAGGTCGGTTCGTTACCTACCAGAAATCGCCTCTTCAATTGGCGCCGTTTGTGAGAACGAGATTACTGCAAAATGAAATCTACGCGCTCCAGAAGCAGGAGAGTTCCCTCAACCGGGGTTGAACAAGCCTCAGCTGCCCAACAAGATCACGTTTCAGAGGAACAAGGGTCCCCGAGAACCCAACCCGTAAACGAAGACGCCATCGCCAGGATGACGGCCGAGTTTGTAGCAGACAATCCCAATATCTTCGAAGAACTAGGGAGGTACTTCAAGAGGCAGGGAAAAGAGAAGGCTGAATCTTCCAAGAGAAGATTGGCGAAATCACCTGAGGTGCCCTCAGGTGAGGACTCTGATGACGGGCATCTCTCCTGGAGTACCTCAAGATGCGCCTACTCCAAGGCGACCTCCAAAATTGCCCATATTTTTCAGGCGTTTTCCCTGGATTTACTGGGAAAACGAGTTGAGGACGCGCATCGCCGCTCTGGGGGGCTAGCGGCCGATTACATGAGGACTCCGCCCTTTACCGATGACATCAATGGGGAAATGGTTCCTCCCAACTTCAAACTCCCGGTATTACAGCCCTACGATGGCCGAGATCACCTCCGCGTATTCATATCGACATTCCGCCTCTACTGCGTCGCGGACGCCGTGATTTACCGAGGTTTCTCTATTTTCCTACAAGGGACAGTTCGAAAATGGTTCTGGGGTTTGGAACCAAGGTACATTTCCTCACTGGACGAGTTGGCGGACAGGTTTATACACCGCTTTGTATCGTCTCGCCCAGTTACGAAGACTTCAACCTACCTCTTGAACCTATAGCATACTCCCGGGGAGTCACTGCGCTTGTATGTGCAGAGGTTCAATAAGAAAAATGTGCAGATACCTGATCAGAATGAGCAGGTAACCATAGTTGCCTTCACCAACGGGTTGATCGCAGGAATCTTTCACACCAAGATACATTGGGATTACCTCCGTTCACTTCGGGAACTTTGGGAACGGGTAGATCGAAAAATCAGAAGTGAAGACATAAATCGCATGAAGCGGGAAGCCCAAGCAACCCGTACTGGGCAAAAGTCCCGGAGGAAGAACGAAACTGACCGAATAGAACAGGGTCCCAGTGGTTTGTCGAATCAATTTCGAGATCGCCGAAGTGTCTTTGACACGATCGTGAAGGAAAAGTCGTCCACCTCGAACGCCGAACTGACTCCCCTCAATTCCAGTCGGTCTCATATTCTGGCTGTAATGAGGCAGAACCACCTCGGTCGAGTCCCTTCTGAGATTTTGGAGAGGAGGGAGAAGAAGAACTCCAACATCTATTGTGCCTACCACCGAGATGTTGGGCATGAGACCGAGGACTGCAATGATCTGAAGAGAGAGATCGAGAACCTGATCAGACAGGGATACTTGAAACAGTTCGTCCACAAGAATTGAGACTTCAACCGAAGTGCCTCCCACCGAAATAATCGAGTCCCTCACTGTGAGGACAGACGAGACACAAATAGTCATTGCCATGGACCCGAGGACCATAGGAAGGACCAGCGGCCTCCACGAGACGGGTTCCCGGGCTACGGCCCTAACATCGCGGGGGTCATCAATACAATTGCGGGCGGTCCGACGAAAGGAGACAGTCAGAACTCTCGAAAACGGACCTACCGTCAAGCCGGACTGGAGGCTGCCGAGCCGAGCTCCCGACTATTCGAGGTGATTATTTATGGTCCCAGCGACCCTGTCCCTGCCGCCTCCAGTAACCACAAAACCTTAGTAATTAAAGTTTTCACCAATAACTGCATAGTCAAGAAGGTCTATGTCGATCCCGACAACTCGGTAGACGTCTTGTACTATCGAATTTTTGAAAGTTTGAAACTATATAGAGAGCAGCTCACACCTGTCAGAACCCCCCTCGTCAGCTTTGGGGGACACGTGATCCACTCAGAGGGAATGGTATCCCTGATGGTGACAATCAGGCGTCACCCTCGCTGCAGAACTATGCCCGTTAACTATGCAGTTGTCAAAGTACATTCCCCGTACAACATGTTAATAGGTCGGTCGACGCTCAATGCCTTGAGAGCCCTGTACTCTACCTACCACCTGAGTTTCAAGTTCCCGACACCTGCGGGGGTGGCTGAGGTGAGCAACGATGTGAACGTTGCTTGAGAATACTACCTCGCCACCATCCAGGCCGCAGTCACTCCCCTAACTACGTCAAAGGTTGAGAGAAAGAGGCCAACTGTCATTTCCATAGAAAGTATTGATCCTCAGAAAATCGGAAAGCCCGACAGGCTTGAGTTCGGAGGCGAGGTGGACGAGGTGAGACCTGACCAAGTGATCCAAATGGGGACGAATCTCCCCTCGCCCCTCAAAGAAAAAATGATCCGCCTGATAAAGGACCACCGAGACGTCTTCGCGTGGTCTGCTGATGAAATGGTCGGAGTACCCCCCGAGCTCATGATATACCAGGTTAACGTCAATCCACAAGCCCGTCTTGTGAAACAAAAACGTAGGCACTTCGGCCCTGAACGTAACAAGGCCATATCCGAAGATATCGACAAACTCTTGCCCGCCAGGATGATCCATGAAGTCCAGTATCCCATCTGATTGTCGAACCCCGCCATGGTCAAAAAGGACACCGATGGATGGAAAATGTGTGTGAATTTCACTGACCTTAATAAGGCGTGCCCCAAAGATTGCTACCCGCTGTCGAGGATAGACGCCCTCGTCGACTCGGCGATGGGACAGGAGATCCTCTGTTTTCTAGATGCCTTCAAAGGGTACCATCAAATAGGAATGAGTAAGGAAGACCATGAGAAGACAGCGTTCTACACCAACCGAGGTATCCACTGTTACACCACAATGCCGTTCGGGTTAAAAAACGCCGGGGTAACCTACCAAAAGCTAGTTAACCGTCTCTTCAAGGATCAGATCGGCCGCAACATGAAGGCCTATGTGGACGACATTTTCGTCAAAAGTCTAACCACTTCGGCCTTCTTGTCAGATGTGAGGGAGGTCTTCAACATCCTGCGGGATTCAAGGATGAAGTTAAATCTTAAGAAGTGTGTCTTCAGCGTCACTTCGAAAATTTTTTTGGGGTATTTGATTTTCCGTCAGGAAATCGAAACTAACCTCGATAAGGTAAAGGCCATTCAGGACATGTCCCCACCTCGAAATTTGTAGAAGTTCAGAGGCTAAACGGGCGTCTGGCCGCACTAAACTGCTTCCTGTCTCAATTTGCTGAGAAGGCCTTACCCTTTTTTAGGGTGCTGAAGAAGGCCGACCAATTCGCCTGAATCGAAGAGTGCCAGCAAACCTTTAACCAATTGAAACAATATTTGCACCACCTTCCTACTCTCGCTTCATCTCGCCCGAGGAGAAGCTGTACCTCTACCTCTCCGCGGCTGACGAGGTTGTCAGCGCTGTGCTCATCCGAGATGAAAGCACTCAAGTGCCCTTTTACTATGTCAGCCGAGCTCTATGCGAGCCCGAAACTCAGTACACCCAGGTGGAGAAGCTCGTGCTAGGATTAGTCCATGCGGCTCGACGGTTGAAACCTTATTTTCTAGCTCATCCCATTTCCGTTAGGACAGATCAGTCTATTCGACAGATATTGGTGTGTCTCGAGGTTTTCGGGCGCCTCACCAAGTGGGCTGTCGAATTAGAAGAGTACGATCTGTCGTATAAACTGAGAACTACCATCAAAGCTCAAGCATTAGCAGATTTTCTTGCCGAACTCACCTTCTCGGAGAGTCAAGACGCCACCTCCGACGTGTCCGAGCCATATTTATGGACGTTGTATATGGACGGATCTTCTAATGGAGATGGCAGCAGCGCAGGATTGCTCCTGGAGGATCCCTGCGGAGAAGTGTGCTCAAACGTCCTTCGCTTCGACTTTCCGGCCACCAATAATGAAGCCGAATACGAGACCTTGATTGCGGGACTTTAGCAAACCTGCAAACTTGGTACTCAGCTGATCCATGTCCGCAGTGACTCTCAACTTGTAGTATGTCAAGTTTTTGGTGAATTTGAATCCAAGGATGAGACCATGCAACGGTATCTCTCCAAAGTTCACTAACTCACCGTATATTTCGAATCTTTCGAAATCCAAAGGATACCCCGGTCGCAGAACAGGTGGGCCGACGCCTTATTCCGGCTGGTTTCGACATCATTTTTCGACCTCAACAAGACAGTTCTAATGGAGGTGCTGGACGAGCCAAGATACTTGGAAGGGACGGCCTGCCCCGTACACCCGAAAGACACATGGATGAGCCCATTCATCCTATTATTAAACCAGGGAATCCTTCCCGAGAACCGAACCGAAGCAAGAAGGATCCAACGCAAAACTGCTCGGTACGCACTCCGCGATGAAGAGCTGTATAAACAATTCTACCTCGGCCCGTGCCTAAGATACATTACACCTGAGGAAGGACGCCAAGTCCTCCACAAGATACACGAAGGCCTATGTGGGGCCCACGTCGGTCACAAGATGTTGGCCAAGAAGACCCTACTTCTCGGGTACTTCTGGCCCTCTGTTCGACAAGATGCGGGTACTTCTGGTCCTCTGTTCGACAAGATGCTCAAAACCTTGTCCTCAATTGCCCTTCCTGCCAGATCCATGCCCCCGAGCACCACCAACTCACAAATCTCATGGTCCCTATCACCTCACCCTGACCATTCGAGCAATGGGAGACAAACATTATCGGTCCCTTTCCTAAAGTTATAGGAGGGTATACCTTCCTTATAACCGCCGTGGACTACTTCTCCAAGTGGGTCGAGGCCGAGCCTCTAAGGACCATCACAGGGCTGGCAATCCAAAAATTCTTCTGGAAATGCATCGTTTGCCGCTCAACCATACCTCAAGTCATCATTTCAGATAATAAGAAGCAGTTTGCTAAGAACCCGTTTAAAGGTTGATGCGAGGACCTCGGCATCAAGCAGCATTTCACTTCGATAGACCACCCTCAGGCCAATGGTTAGATAGAAAACTTCAACTGAACTCTCTTGCATGGCTTTAAGACTCGATTACACAAAATTGGATCATCATGAGTAGAAGAATTTCCTAGTGTCCAGTGGTCTTATCGGACTACGCCGAAGTTGGCCACACAAGAGACTCCCTTTTCCTTGACGTACGGCTCTGAAGTGATCATTCCGCCCGAGATCCTGACACCTAGTTTCCGGATCACGGCCTACGCGCCCGAGGCAAATGAGGAAGAAAGACTGATGGATCTTGACCTCGTCGAAGAGAAAAGGAACATCGTCTCGGCTCTAGTGGTTTCATACAAAAACACCCCGGCCCTTTACTACAATGCCCACGTGAAACATCGTCGATTCCAACCAGGAGACTTGATCCTCATAAAAAACTCAGTCAGCCGAGCTGAACCGCAAGGGAAATTATCCCCTAAATGGGAGGGCCCCTATCGAGTCGTAGAATCTAACCTGAATGGGTATTGTAAGTTAGCCTACCGAGATGGTTCTCTAGTGCCGAAGACTTGGTATGCTGAGAATCTTAGATTGTATTATGCTTGAGAATTTTAACGAGTTATTAATTGGACCACTTCATTATTTTTTAAATCTTGATACCACACACTAGCTATTAAAAAATAAGGGGAACAAGCAGCGAACGAAGTGAAAAAGTAAAAGAACCGAGATGAGAAGAAATAAAAAGTCAATTTCATACAAAGAAATATCACAAAAGGAAGAGTACAAGAACCGAGGTCAGGAGCGCTACTAAGCACCTCCCACCTCAGTATTCCCATTGACCCCGTTAGTCTAGGCCACGGTCTCGGCCCCATCGTGGCTGATCTTCTCGCTGACCTCTCTACTGCCGAGGTGAGCTCCTCCTTCCTCATGCCCCTCACCGACCTTCTTGCCGGCTTCATCCACACCGAGATAAGTTTTCTCGGTTTCCTCTTCCTCCTCGAACACCTGATCGAGTTCGGATAGCCATTTGTTGAACTCATCCCGGATCTCGGCCAAATTTCGTCCAGTTTGGATGCCTTCGACCATTCGATCGCACAGTTTCTTGGAGTTCTCGTTGTAGTTGGCCTTATTCTTGATAGATTTCAAATCTTCGAAGGAGAGGTGAGGAGCGACCTCATCGGTGGCCGAGGTGTAGGCGAACATAAATCTCGGCATGGTCAGCTCTCCGAGATCTTTGGTGAAAGTCTCGGACCTCCGGAAGGCCTCCACAACGGAGGCCCTGACACCCTCTAGTGCCTGCTCGTAGGACTTTTTCACCTCTTCCCCCCTTCTCTGCTTCTCTTCGAGAGTCGATCTGAAGCTGTTTATAGTAGTCTCAGCCTCCTCGTCCTTCGCCTCAACCTGCTACAGTGGACTCTGAAGCTCGGACTTCTCGGACTCCGCAACTGCCAGCTGCTTCTCCGACTTTCCTATTTTATTTTGGAGCTTGCCGGAGTCTTTCTCTTTTAGCAAGTCGCTGTACCGACGTGCCATTTCGGCTACAAAAGCTGTGGAGGAAGCTGTTGCCACTATGAGGCTTTGGATCACCTCGAGAGGGGTCAGCTTCTCTGTAAACTCCATATTTCTCGGCAAGTTGGAAAACATAACCAGCTCCTGTGCCACACGGGGATGGATGCATCGGTCATTGATTGAGAGCTGCCAGTTCGGGCACCAATGCTCGCCGGGATGCGTCTTGTCTTGCCCGAAAAAATGAGGCGGACTGTGGAAACGATTCCACAGTGAGGAGCCTGTCACCGGATTGACCAAGGTCTTCAGCTGCTTGCTTCAGCCATGAGGAGGGAAGACAACTGTGACTCCTGGTGTGGCCACTTCTTCCGGCACCGACGAGGTGAACTCCGTGGCTGCCACGGCCGAACTACTTTTGGCTGCTGTGGCCGAGGTGCTGTTAGTCACCGTAGTTTTGACAACCAGCCCTTGTGGTTTCTTTTTCAGCGGAGGTGCAGATGCCTCGCCCGAACTCTTCCTCTTTGGCCTCTTGGCCACCTCTGCCGAGTCGGAGGTTATGATATCGGACAATTTAACCACTGCACAAGGAACAAACATTATTATTTATAATAGCCGAAGTAACGAGAAAGCTAAGAAAGAAAAGTTACAAGGTTTCTTAAGTCTGGTGGAAAAGAAGGAAGGCTTCTCAAGGTCGATCACGACTCGGCTAATCCTCTCATCAATCAACACGGTCTCGGGATAATCCCAACAATTGATTCGGAGCCCTGACCCATCAGTTTCTGGAAGCCCTCCTCGTCATGATCCCCTGGAAAAGGATCGGATTTCTACTTAAGCGGTCTCCACAAGAAACCCCAAGAGAAGTCCTCGGCGGTGACGAAGACGAAGTCGCGCTTCCAATTTTTTATCGAAGTGGAAGCGTCGACCACGAGTTTTGAGATAGAATTGTTCCGGTTGCAGATGTAGAAACACCCCTTATCCGTCCCATACGCCTTGAAAGTGTAGCACCAGCGAAAAAGATTAACGGTGGGGGTTACCTTTTGATGTCGGCATAGTATCTCAAACCCCACCAAAATACGGACCGCGTTCGGGGTAAGCTGATTGATCCTGATGCCGAAGTACCGGAGTACGTCCCTTAAAAAATCTCGACGTCAACATCCTCAACCCGGCCTCCAGCTGCTACAAGTAGATCGCCACTGTGCCCATTGGTGGCCTCTCGGCCGATTGGTTCGGCCCAGGTGACTTGATGATGTACCCCGCCCTGAACGGATATTTCCTTATCACCTTCTCGACCCTATCTTTTCTGACGCGGCTCCTGAATTTCGGCATCTTACCGAAGTCAATATCGGAGAGGACCTCTGGAGCAACCGGCTCCAGCACACCATCATCATGGGGGATTTCGGTTCCGAGATTATCATTGTATATGACCTCGGAACCACTCTCGCTTATCTCGGAAGATTCCACTTTCGGGGCGGTCTCGACGGTTTCCTCCTTGGCACTGGATGTTTGCTCCTCAGAACTGGACGAGATCGTGTCTTCTGAAGGGTCAGGCCTTTCCTCAACTTGGTAGCTGGGCGTCACGATTTCTTTATGGGTTTTAGCAATTCTAACCATGTATAAAAGATGAGATGAAAAGAAAAATACTTACTATTGACTAGGAAATCGGACGAGAACGAAGACCTTGGCTATGATCTCGGCTGAAGGAATTGACCTCGACAACGCTCTCAAATTTGCAAAAGTATGATGTCAAAATAGAAAATGATGGATAGTGCGGTGAAAAGAACCCCCTATTTATAGGGGTTAGAGAGAATGCGAAGAGACGACAAGAACGCGAAGAGGCGGCCACGTTTAAATTCAAAAGGATGTGTCTCTCTCTCCTCATTAATGTCCTGTCCTTTCGACTGCCACGTTCTCTACACATAGCCTCCCACTACATCACGTCGCAACGGTTACCCATAATCGCTTTGCTTACCACGTCCTTTCAAATGACTCTCTACGTGTCACGCCTCCTTATCATCCGGTACACATTGAGACCTCTGAAGCTGAATGGTTTTGGCATACCGAAGCCTCGAAACCTCATACGCCTCCGCGATTCCGAAGTTTGGGGGGTTTATTGAGGATGGTCATCTCGGCCTTCCGATTGGCCGAGATCATACCACCTCATCCTCCACACAAACCGAGATGTCCTAGGAACATTACTCCTTCCCCTGACCTCGGTTGTACCTTAGGTCTACGTCACGAAAGATCTCTATACTTTGGGTGTGTTACCTCGGCTCCATGCGGATGACGTCAACCTGCTTGACACCACATTAGAGACCATTGCTTTATCTGAAACGCTACTAATGCTCTTAATGGCTACTGCACAGGACTACCTGTCAGCCTGTCCAAGCTACTGCAGTGTCAGAGCTAGACCTCCAGGTGCAGAACAGAGCCGTAATAGTCAGGACATGGGTCCCGCTAACGTCAACCCACCGTCCTGTCCTCTGCTCCTGCCCTATAAATGCCCCCTGTTCACTTCCAACAAATGAGCACACTATTGCATTTTTACTGTTCATTACTCTTTATTCCTTCAATATATTGACTTGATCGTCGGAGTGATTTTAGGGAGAAACCCCGCCATTCACTTCGGATAAGCAAATTCATCGCACAGCACTTGAGAGAGGACTGATTCAGATCGGTTCGTTACCTACCAAAATTGCCTCTTCATGCATCATTGCTTTTACTGTGTTTGCCTCTAAACTTCGAATTATGTATGCACCTATTTAGCATCTTTGACATTCTTTAGACAACCAAATAGTTTGTTGTCAAGAATCAATGACCCGGACTTCTATATGTTCACCGATTACAACTTTATAGTGCAATAGTTCGTATAGCAAACTAATGTAGGAATTAACATTGCCATTTTTCTTTGCCCTTTTTTGTTCATGTTCTTCCCCTGATATTTCTTTTTCCTTGTGTTTTGTTACTTAGAGGACCTTGGTTTTTGGAACTATACCTTCTGAAATTAGTTTGAATTCTACTGAAGTTAATACACCTGTCTCACTGCCTACTAATGCACTCTCAACTTTAGGTCCAACTAGTCTTGCACCTGGAAGTCCCTTGAAGAAGCAGCGTGATGATGAACTCTAAACTTGCTTGAAGCCTTTTGAATTACTAATCTAGCTAATGTTGAAGCATTTTACAGCTGAATTGCTAATCTTGCATCTTTTGACACAATATTGACATCCATTAAGCAATTATTCTTTTGTGTAACTTAATGGATCTCAATATGTGATATTTTGTAATTGCAGCCTATCACTGCACTTTATATTAGGTATTCAGGATGTCATCTCCTGTCTTTGTAAAACTAACTTGAACTTGAAGATATCAAGCTGTTTGTAAAATTATTTGTCAATCTGTTGTCATCTTCTCTTATCTTTTGCAATACTGGTGGTTCTTTGGTTTTGTTTAGTCTTATATTGTTAGCCGCATGTTTGATTGGTAATTTATGATTTTAAGAATGCTATTTCACAAACAGTGCTGTTAATCTTATCTTATATGAAAATATATGACAACAGATTATAAGGGGCCTAAACTGTGCTTAGCACAGCCGAAAACCTCCAAGTATCTAATCTAACTACAATATAAGTTCCAATGGTCTTACTGTAGCTTCTTCTCATGCTGCCACGTGGCAGCCCTAGAGCTGAAGTTTAGCTTATTTCTCCTCGGTTGACATTGCTTGTTTCATTGGAGGAAGTTTAGTCAGCTGCTGAAGTTTAGCTTATTTCTCCTCAGCCGACATTGGTGAAATGTTTTACTAAGTTACTTTTGGTCAAATGCAAGGTACCTCGGGGTGGTTGAAAGTATATCATTCTTTTACTTCATCCTTTCCTTTGTACGTCAAACGATCAAGAATAGCAGTTGAACTGCTCCTGCACATGGTCAGAAAAAGCAAAGAAACAGGTAAGCTTCTTCCTTTCTCCGTATCCCTTTTACACCAAATCCTTCTCATTCTGCACTGTAGAAAACACATGGCTAACGTATCAGTGGTAATTATTGCCATGGAAACCACCAATTGTTTCATAGATTGAGTCTACTTTATGGTACTTTTTCTCCTTCGTTACATTTTGTGATATCGCGTACAGTAGAGGAGAAGAAAAAAGAACTCCAGCAAGAAAGAGTTTTGGAGAAAGGGCCACAGGAAAAGTAAGAATTTATTTCTTTTTCCTTTTGGTTCTGAATTTTATTTTCGCCTTTTAGGTATTTATTAGATGATATTCTAACTTTAGTACAGAATTTTCCTTTTTCTTCTTTTCTGCTGAATGTGAATATATGTGTCAATGAATTTTTTCTTCATTTTGTTTTTTTCCTTTTTTTTAAATTTTTTTATCAGATTTTCTTCATTTTGTTCTTTCTTTTTCTCTTATTTTTTTTATTAGATGATGTTCTGATATTCGAGCTGTTTTTTTTTCCCTTTTTGTGTTGTTTCTTTTAGTTGCAATGATTTTTCTAGCAAATACAGCTATTCAAACAAGTCAAAATTTTGTGAAATCTCAGAGACCAATGGCCATCAAGTGTTTGATAAAATGTCTATGTGAAACTTGGGATAGCAGAGAAAACACGGAAAGAATGATCGCACAGGTAAATTCTACTCCGGTCTATATCATTTTTTTCTCTATGGCCAATTCCTTCTATGACACCTTTTCTAATGGTAGTTTCTGACACTTGTAAAGATAAAGAAGGTAGGAAGACAGAAGAAATGTAAAAGATGATTCCATGTATTTTCTGAATGAAATATGTAATTCTGAATTTCTGTTGTTTACGAATTGACCAAGCCCGTGATCTGAGAATAATTAAATTCCTGTCCTATTATACACCAGAAGTTTCCAGTACTTTTCCAGGGTAGCAAAAAAATGTTCGTGCCTGTTGCCCTCTGTTTTCAAGAAAGAAAGGAATAGAATACAGTACCAGATCCAGGTGAATGCAATTTGCAAGATCAACGTGGGACATAAATGTGCACTTCCAGTTGCATGAATCCTTTTCAACGTTTTTTTTAGGGCACAAATTATCTTGTCAAGAAGTTAATTATTAGTAGATTAGTAGTTGGAAATATGGTTTACAGTTTTTTGTGCTGTAGAAGTTGCCGATTCAAGTATGTCTTGCACTTCATCTTCATATAATAACTTAAAAAACTTATGGTTACCTTTTTTCCAGGTAAAGAGCTACCACATAAATTATGATGGTGCCGATGTAATATAGCTTATGATTGAGAATTTCCAACAGTAGAAGTTGAAATTTTGTATTGTTAGTTTGTTATCGCTACACATATCTTAGATATATCATATGTATTGTATTCCAAAATTTAATATAAAATTTCTAAGATACGTCATATGTATCTTAGATATATCATATGCACATATCTTAGAAATTTTGTATTGTTAGTTTGTTATCTCTGCACTTATTGGTGTACTTAAGAGTTTAATTTCAGGGACCAAAGAGGACGTTACTGACACCATTAACAGTGATTCTGGCAAGTGAATTTATTCTGGGAATGGTGGATCTAAGATGAACTTGGCTAATGCGGTGGCTTATTCTCCCCTAGGAGTGCTAATGGGCTTGTCAAGAGTATTGGAGTTGGTGGAGTTGCGAGCAGAAGTTAGCAAACTGTTGTGGGTTCTGGGGTTGGAAAAAAAATTGTCCCTCAGTCATCTAAGCCAGCTCAAGAAAAGAAGCCCTAGGTTTCTACTGCTGATGGTCATGCTACAACCCCTGCTACTAAGTAAATTTTTCTCATTTCCTCTACTATTTAACATCATAGGAAATAAATAAACTCTTAAATTTTTATTGTGTTTTATTGGAGTAACAAAATAGAAAGGTTTATGTAGTGTTGATAACAAGAGCCTAAGAGGCAAAATTGCTAAAATCATAACTAGAACCACTGTTGTTAATTAATTTGTTTAATAATCTTATTTCATTATTAAAGGATAGTCTTTATGAACTCATTATGATTCAAATTGAAATTCATATTCTTATGGTGAAGGCTTGAACTTAATAGTACCCTATAATAACACCTATTGCTTTAAAGACAAAGAACTTGCATGTTTAACCACGGCTTTGGTACATGTTGACTTAAGATTTCTGAGTTTCAATTTAGTTTTGCTAAAAATGTCAATTTTTGGCTGATTTTTTCTTAGAAACTGTTGGCTTGAGACCAAAAAATCTATCCATATTGAGATAGAATGTACCATTAGATGCCTATCATGCAAGGAAGAAACTAGAGTTGAAGCGAGGTAAATGTTATTATTTACTTTTCTAATGCTAGAATTGGTAAATCATTTACAACAATATAACTTCCAATTTGCTTCATGTGATGGCAAAATACGATAGGTATTGCTTGGGATTTGTGGTAAATGATGTAACAGGATCTTTACATGCTGCAATTTTCAGTCCATATGTTGAGAAATTGTTATCATATACCGCTCTTCGCCTAGCCATGATGACCAAGTAAGATCAACTCCATGAGCTATAACTTGATGAGTTATTGCATAATAATGAGTGCAACTTGATAAATGCGCTTAAATGCTCTTAGAAGAACAATTGTAGGAAAGGATTGAAACATTATACTAAAAAGTCATATTTTTCCTTAAAAAATTAATGAGGCTTTGTTCAACTTATTTGATCCATTTTATAGCTTTAAGTTTTGCTTATTGGATTCATTTATATGACATTTTATCACAAGTTTACCCGTACAAATTCACGTAAAGCTTTTGATCCTGACTCTTGAGATATCCTAAAGCCTTATAAGAGCATTCTTTTGGTTAGTTGGAAATAATTGAAAAAGATAAGTTGTCTCGGTTATGGAGTAGGCATAAGTGATTTATAAATTTCTACTATTTGGTTTTTTAATGAGGCTGCCATAAAAAAAAAGACTCTATAAGGTTTAATAAGTTATTTGTATTTAATGTATCTGCTTATCTGTTAAAATTTTAGACTGTTGCCTTAGTTTTAGATTGCAAAAAGCTATATTGCTTCGCAGTTGGAAATTGCATAGTCAACATGTAATTGTTGATTAAATATTTCAAACAAATATTTCAGACAAAGTTCACTAATGAAATTAAGGATGCTACACATTTTACTAAACTAGCCTCTCATGTTGAAGGGGTTACAATGGTTTGTTTCATCTATGTTTTTAATCTAGAAAATCCAAGGACAAAAGGACAACGAAGAACAACACTATCAAAGCATACATTACTGAGGTTGGCGGTCAAATTTCGATAGCAATCCCAAATGAAGATCACAAAAGATGTTCCCAAATTTCATATCATTGCTCAGGATCCTTTATGATGGCGTTCTCCTAAAGAACTTGATGGAATAAATGCAAGTTAGCAATCTAATTAGTGGGCAATCAGTATTTCAATTTATAGTTGTCTAGAATATAGCACTACCAGAAAGTTTTTGACTGCCTGCTGAATTACTTGGCAGTGGGAAAGTAGAAAAGATGTTAATATTGAACCAATGCTCAGTTTCTAAACTATGTTGTTATTTACTCAAATGATGAATTTGTATGCTTAATTCTTCTTTCTCCCTTTTATTAATCTTCTAACTTCCTTTAAACAATTTTCTTCTTACAGATTCGGATGATTGCAGCTCTCAACTTCATTAGTTTTTAGCATATATAATGGAACCAATCATTATAGTATTTTTTTTTTCCTTTTTTGGCGTTGGATTCTTGGAAAAATTGCTGTTGAAATTTTAAGTAGGATCTAAATTATGTCAATATCTTTGAAACTACAAAATTGAAATCCAATTCTAGACTTTTACCTGTATGAAAAAATGTATTTATGAACCATATAATGATCCATTGATTTTTAATCCAAAATTCAAGAGATCATGATACACAGTAATGGATCAAGCCATAATAGCTAATTATTTATTGCCTCTTTAGTCAATAAATAATCAATTGAGAAATATTTGATATTAATATGTTTAATTCAAAAAATAAATTTATCAATTATTACTTTGAATAAATGTATGAGCATTTGAATAAATGTATGAGCATAAAAAAATTTAAGTGTAAACGCAAAGTTAATATTCAGAATACAACCTAATTTTTCTATAGATTTTTAAAATTATTTGGACTTTGAGGGAAAATAAAATACCAAAATTGATATTTTTTTTCTAATGAGAGTAGACACACCATGACAAGGGGGTTTAAATGCTAGATTAATTATTTACAAAGCATATATAAGTGCATCGACTGCTCAATTTATAATTTTCTTTCATTTTATAAACACTCTCCTTATTCTTTGGGATTAGTGGCAAGAAAAGATACAAAAATTGATAAATGTTTCATATGACAAAGAAATTGGGTAAGAGATGATTTAATTGATGGCATAAAAATAAAAAAAAATATGCCAGTTATGAGCTTTATTCATTTACAAAGCAATTTTTGAGGTTTTTATTTGTCTGGGATTTATTGGAAAAAAATGATAAAACATATATTTTTACGGTATGGGAAAAATATTAAGATGTATAAATCATGTCTCTAATAAATATTTAAAAAGGAATATGAAAAAAATGATATTGTTTGCAATAAGACTATAAAGCATTTTGTTAGGGAAGATGTATATAATCTATATTACATAATTAAAATGAAACAGTCAGTCTAAGAATTGTTTTACCCAAGCCGTGTTTAATTACAAAGCAAATTTTAAGGTTTTTATTTATTTGAGATTTTTCACTTTTTTAAAAATAATTTTGATATCTTGCTTAACTTTAGACCATTAGATTTGCAGTGGTTGATTGCTTTCCTTTTGTAATTGTTTGATGGTTCAACGGTCAGACAACTTACTCATCCACTTTAGTAAAACTCAAAATAGTTGGCCGCTCTTTTATACATATCATTCCTGGTTTCCATTTTTTTCTTATACAATGAATCTTTACAACTCATAGGCCATTGTTTTACTTCTTTCAACGATTTGTTTCGATTAGATGTTTACAATTTACCTAAGAGTTGGATTGTTTTTTATATAAATTTCAACCACTTGATTAATTGTTCTTTGTAATTTCGTCATGCATTCACTATTAGATTGGACAATGAATCAATGGAGTGGTTTACTTATCATTGACTAGATTTTTAGATAAAAATTTTGACAACAATAAATCAAGTGGTTACATTTGACAAAGTAGATTAAAGCTCAGAAGCTTTTATTCATTTTATTTGTTCTCATAACTTCCTTCTTGGTAATTTTTGTAAAACAGAGATCACAAGGTGTGTAACTTCTTTGAATAATTTATCACCAATACAATATAATTAAAACCAAAAACATTCTAAAGTTTATAGAAATCAATATATTTTTTCCAACAATACACATTTGTATTTACAAGTTAAACAAAAAGAAACAAATGTGAATTTACTACTATACAATGCAATTACTAATAAAATGCAACAAAAACAGCTTATTGTTTCCTGTGAAAAATATAACTACAACTACTATAAAAGCTACTGTTTCATCAATAACTACCAGTGAATTCATTCCAATAGGCACTGGCAGTGCATAGCACAGCCCACCCCTATTAGTGTGTGTGTGTGTGTGTATATATATATCAAATTAAACTAATTGATAGGTTGATAGAGGTGTTCAAAAGTAGTAGTAGCAAAGCTGTATCGATTAAAGCTGCAATAGGACAATTTTACCAGAATACAACTGCTAAAGAATTAATGCCCTGACCATAATAAATAATTCTCACTTAACATGCCTATTACCAAATTTCAATGACACCATGGATACTAAATTTGTATTCATAATTCTTGCCCCTGAGTGGGGGGTTTTTTAAATTCCCTATTTGAGGTTATTGAAGTAACTAGAAAGTACTACTGAATAGTTAATTTGCTAGCCATAATAAAAGATTCCAAAGAATTATTATGTCCTATAACAAGTCATATGTGTCCCATAAGAAATTCCTAATCGTATAATAGATACTATATGCATGCCTTAACTAACTAATTGATAGATATTAGGGTGCATTTGATAAAATTGAAATTTGAAAATTGAAGTTTGAAATTTGAAATCTAAAGTTTGAATCTATGAAGTTATTGAATGGTTAAATATTAAATCTAATACATTTGAGTGCATATCACATTCAGTGATAACTGAATAACTTATTACTTAATTTTGAGAGTAAGTTTTGCCTAGAAAATTCGGTGTCACTTAATTAATTCAGATGTTCAATTATTGGTTATCAAATGATTTGAATATGTTAAGATCTGAATCCATTAAATTTAAGTGATGAATTGAGTTATGAAACAGGGGCTAAGACATATTAAACACTATCAACACAAAAACCAAATTTACCAAATGTAGTAAAATTACACAAACCAGTTCGAACTATGTAGAATTCAACTTATGATGCCCTTGATCCAGAACTATTGGTATAAATATGATAGCTAGGCTCAGTTAATATCAACCTACAACTTCAAGTATTTACAAGCTACAAAACTTGAAGCTAGTTAACTGCCTTAGAAATCAAAGACAAATGGCTTTGAATGGTAGTAGTGGGAATTATAATGTGGTCCAGCAAAAGCAGACTTGATCAGTGACGTTTGTTCATTATCAAAGGATGTACAGTATTGCTGCAGCACTTTCCGAGTCCCTGGTTCCAACACTGTAGATATTGCCGGTCTGGGCCAAAGTTGTGCTAGGTTTAGCAACATCAAAAGTATCCGTCACCCAATCTTTGATACAGGAGCTCGCCGGACATGCAACCGATGAAAATACAAAGGACACACTGAACTCCTGCCTTGGCAGCTACGACGAGAGCCTAAGTGCTCGTAATGAATGCATGCCGTGATCTCTCGTGTAAAATGGATTATTTAGATCTTGGGGACAGACTCGGTGAAGCCGAAGACGGTCCACATGGCTGTGATCGGTGTTTTAGTGATTTCCAGCTGACCTTACCCGAACCTGACGAACTTAAGCAGGCCAGCGCACACCTCCAAGTCCCGATCGTAGCTGTTGGCGTTATTGCAACCAAATTGGGAGACGGCGATAAGCATTAATATCTTTCCATATATATAAAGCATGAGGCTTGTTTTTGGTGTTAAATGTTAGGGTGATTATCTAAATTTAACCATTGGTGAAAACCATCACCTGTTAAATCCAAGATCTATATGGCGATTATTAAGAAATAAATAAATAATAAAATAGCGAAAGCGTACTTGAATCCATATCGATAAACTGATATATGAATCTTTAGAGAATTTGGGGTGATCTTCTAGGTCAACACGTATTTACCAGTCTTTGAGAGAGGCCTTTAGTTTCTCTCTGGTATCTTTCCTGACGATGGGATATTAGGAAAGGGCTTTATATTGTGGTACTAGAAAATATGACAAAATAATGATACTTGTGACCTGGGGACCATAACCCTATTTATAGGTAACTTTCCTGTTACCTTTTGGAACCCTATTTCAGCCCATCATAGAAACAGGGGCCCTTAAGTTTCTACATATTAAAGGCCTGCATCCTATTAGATACATTAAGTCCAAATCATATTTGATCACTTTAATTGAACTTAACTTTATTTGACAGTTTGCAACCCATAATTATTCACATATAAGTCCAATGTTGGATTAAAGATTCAACAATCTCCCACTTGGACTATATGTGTAACCTTATAATTATATTTCGCAATTAATCGTATGAGCTTAACTTTACTGTCATTATTATAATATATCTGTAACCAATTCGATCTATCAATCATACCAACATAGGATTAAAGCGGCCTTTGTTACACTTTCGTAACTCGACCCATCAATAGTCACATATATCGATACAATTGAACGACATGAATCATGATGTGGATGTGTAGCATGAAAATTTTATGTAATATGATCAAAACATGCCTATTTCCAACTGGTCCACTTTAAATTTTCATGAGATCAAACCATACCAAAATCAGAATGTAGACAAATCTAAACTTTATTTATGCATAAATATCCTTAAATTCTTAATAATCGAAAAATGTCATAAGAGCATTTAAAATAACAAACTCCTACTAAAACTGTACATCATTTAATAATATGACACCCATACGAGCAATATGCTCATGAAACATTTTGGATGGCAATCCTTTAGTAAGCGGATCCGCAACCATGAAATTTGATCTGATATGCTCTATCGATAATTGTCCATTCTGCACTCTTTTTTTAATAGTCAGGAACTTGATATCTATATATTTAGATTTCGTCGAGCTCCTGTTATTGTTGGAATATAGGACTGCTAACTTATTATCACAAAATAATTTGAGTGATTTTTCAATACTATCCACCACACGTAATCCTGTGACGAAATTTCACAGCCAAATTCCTTGATTGGATGCCTCATAACAAGTTATAAACTCTGCAGCCATAGTGAAAGATGCTATGAGGGACTATTTAGCACTCTTTCAGGATATGACACCTCTAGCCAACAAGTACACATAGCCTGACGTTGTCTTCATAGTATCTTGACATCCAACATAATCGGAATCAGTATATCCAATGATTTCTAACTCATCTGACTCCCAATACGTGAGCATGTAGTCTTTTATTTTCTGTAGATACCGTAAGACCCGTTTGGTTACTTTCCAATTATCTAATCCATGATTACTCAGATATCTACCCAACATCCCAATAATGTACGCAATATCTGGACGCGTACATACTTGAGTATACATTAGACTCCCTACTGCTGAGGCATAAGGAATCTTTTGCATCTCTCTTTTCTCAAAAATGTTCTTAGGACACTGCTCAAGATTAAATTTGTCTCCTTTAGCCACAGGAGTGTCA